AAGTTTCAAAGATATTTTTTCAGTCGATTAAAGACTAAATTGGGTAATTTAGCTTTTGAATAAAAGGTTAGGTTGCTAAAATTTGTGTTTTTGTGTCGTTCGTATATGTGTTTAACAATGTAGAGCTAATGTAATTTTGAGACTCTAGTCCAAGTTTCAGGATTATGGTTTTTGTGGATTAGCGACTAAATTAGGTAATTTAACTTTTGAATAAAGTGTTAAGTTATGTTAATATCACATGTATTTAAATCTAGGGATGTAGGTATAGTTTTTCCTGGAAAAACTCAAATTAACGGTACGTCGAAATTGTGAGATTATCGCAAATTCATTAATACGAGTTCAGTGTAGGAGGCTAAGGTAAGAATAAGACACTTTTGTTTAGAAAGTGGGTGGGATATACGGTAAATTTTATCCGTATATAATTTTGTGTAATTAAATTTCGCTTTAGAAACGTAATATAAACGTTAAATATATATTTGCTAAATGCTATTTTGTGTCATTAATTAAATTTTGCTTTAAATTGTTCATGCGAGGTGATTACGAATTTGTAATTTGACATGATGTCTGGTTATTATAAACAATAGGTATTCACACTGGGTTAAATTTGACGTGTGTGAAAGTCACGTGATTTCAGTGATGATTTGAATGAAGTTATATGGTAGTTAAAAGCTATATTTGTCATGTTTATACAATATAGACTGATGTCCGAGTGAATCAAACTACAGTCATTTATTTCGGACATAGTTATATTCTGAATAAATTATATTCTGGTATTGTCATACGTTTGAGCTCAACTTGTGACAGTGTCAGTCTGATAGGAATGTTTATGTAATAGTGCTTGTGTTTATAAAAAAACGAAATACTAAATTGTAAATGATTAGGTCAAAAGATAACATTATTGACGGAGAAATATGAAATAATAATATTATTGTTTTGGCGGAATTATAAAACAGAAACGCAATTATAAAATTGTCCATTACTGAGTTAAGGTCAAGGGGTCAGAGATAATTTGTAGATTTATAATTAAAGAGACACATCGAAGTTTATTTAATAATTAAACGAAGTTTAATTCTAATTAAAAGTAAGAGTTAATAATAAGACGTAGGAATAGTTAGTTCTCGTTCTGATGGCACTAACATGTTTGATTGACGGATAAAATTGTGCTTTGTCCAACACCAATCATCGCAGTAGAGTGAAGGAAATTCTTAAGAAGTCGGGATCTGTTGATTAACTTAGAGACTCCTTGGATTCTGGAAGGGAAGATGTCGCAATTAAGTATGTTTATATGTATCCAGCTATGATATATAAAATGTAAGAACGAGCTATTGCATTGTTGTTCCTGGTAAGACAAACGTCTTAAATAACTGAGAAAACAGTAAGAAGTAAATACACAACGTGAAGTTGAAGCAGAGACGACAGGTGAAAATACTTGACGACCACAAGACTATTAAAATATGTAGTAAGAAAAGATGCATGGGTCATACGCCGGATGTGGCGACCGGTATTAGTGCGTGGGTCCATGGGGCTACATATTTTAAGCAGCTAATTAGGAAGAAGAAAACCCGTAGAACCAGTACCCGAAAGAAATCTGGTAGAAAAAAAATTGGTGGAAAAAAGAAATCCGGTGGAAAAACCAATTGGTGGAAGACAGATTTTTGGTGAAAATATTCGCAAAATTGGATAAATACATTTTTTTCTGGAAAATTAAACGTGTTAAGTTGTTTAACAGATCAAATAAAAGTATCATAAGATTGAAATACAATAAGTGTTCTAAATGCAACTGTACAGAGAATAAAATATAGTCATTCATGGACAGTTTTGATGGACAGGTTTATTAAACAATAGAAATTCACTAGTTAGGTATGCGTATTATCGGGTTAACATGACCTGTATTAAGTATAGTAAATTTTAGTTATTAATTAAATGAAAGTGAGTCTATAGGGGGTAGGTTAAAAAACTAAGGAATAATAATAAGGAAACGGAATAGGGAATGAAATAAGGAATTAATGTTGTCTCCGGATCGCAGTAGGAAGATGGTAGAGCTAAGGATGAAGCTTGTGAGTGATTTACCTAGTTTCCATGTTTGACTGGCTTTTTCTACTGAATCCGTTATTTCGTTGTTTCGATATATGTGCCATACACCGGATGTGGCGACCGGTAATATATGATACGCATTTGGTATATTTCGTGGAACATACTATCATAATGTGACTGGCTAAACGTCCGCGAGCCACGGTGGCTCAGAGAATAAGACTTGGCTCGCTAGCCCGTGTTCGATCCGTGTGTTAACCGAGAAAGTTCATCGGCAACTTTCGCGGTGGTTCACCCTTGTCAGGGGCACAGGACAGAGAGCTTGACAAAGAACAACGCATAGTCGTTGCGATGGGACAAACAGTTGAAAGTCCATATACGTGTTTCCCCGTAGCGCCGTTGCCTGGTAAAATTCACCCGCATTAGTACAGTCGGAGCAGAACAGTAGGACATTAAATGCCATTTCATTTTCATTTCGCTAATCGTCCGAGACATGTTTAATATTTCGTGGAACATACTATTATTTAGATGTTATTTGAGTAGTGTAAGAATATGGTTTTAAATGGTATTTGAGTAGTGTAAGGCCATGGTTTTAAATGTTTTTGAGCAGTATATGACTATTGTTTTAAAAAGCAGTTAAGTAGTAAGGCTGTGGTTGTGTTAGGTATACGCGAGGTGAGAATATTTCACGGCAATGTGATTCGCGAAATATTGTGTTGTTCGAAAATAGTATTGTTTGTATTGATGCGGTTCTATGGTCTGCTGAAACGATGATCAAAGATAATTAAAGTGTACATTATTGTCTAAATAAGCGCTCATATAGTCCAATGATTTTACGAATGTACAATTGATCTGAGAGGACATTAAAATTTGTTGTTGTTATAATGGTTGATTAAGAGAGAGATATGTAAATACTCATTATATTCTAATAGAAAACCCACTAATATATCATGATTAATATGCATCAATTATTGATTATTATTTATACTCAGGTATATTTAATGATAGATTGACAGGATTGTGTATAGCTGTATTCATTCGAACATTATTATACTAACAAATTCTAGTAAATGTATGACATTTTTGTTTTGCATAAAGATCTTAATTTTAAAGATTATGCCAACATTTTAAAAACTCTGAATCTTGTTAAGATATCTTTTGTAGGCTATTTTTGTTCTATTCTTTGGAACCTTAAAATAGACGAAATGGGTATAAAATATATACTAATGTAATATTAGTGTATATATAGTGCGTTACATTCAATTTTTAAATTCTTTAATGTAATTTCTAATCAATTATGTTCGTTGAAATACACGAAGTCCAAATTGAACGACAGTCTTTTGCGCCTACTTAGTCCATTCTACGTTTGTGCTTTAAATTATTATTTAGTCGCTGTGAATCAGCCATTTTTAATTACTTCCGCATTGCCTTTACACGACTTCCTTGTCTGATTTTAAAATATTCATTGTATATTGTTAGTTCGTATTGTGTGAAGTCTGTATGATTAAAGGCACGGGAGACGCTTACGACTAGAACACCGGATCCATTTTTATGATCTGATATGTACGTTTGTTGTTTGTGATGTCTGTATATATTGTGTCTTGTCCGTAGATTCGTCTTGTAAATTTCTATTGTGTGTGGTACAGTCCCCTCTGCACTTACTTTTTACAATTAAATATTGAATATTAGGATCGCATATTTTCGCGGTAAAATAACATCATCAATGTTGATTTAATTGGACCAATACTGAAATCTTATTCGCGTTTTAAATTTTGAATCGTAAAGCATATACCCATTTTAATGTTGGGGTTTGCCATGGAGCGATGTCATTATTAGAACAATATGACGTATGCATGTTGTCTGGATCAACCAGGCACCACTATCCGTATTTGTTTGACCAAAGACCATACCAAGACAACGCGATAGACTGATTCTCCATGATTGTATATAGCGATTTCCCAAATTTTGAAACAGTAGATATACAAATAATTATGTTTTGACTTTCTCAGAAAATATAAATTATTACTTTAAAATTCGAGCTCGAAATAGGCTACTATTGTCATATTAGGTTTTTCTTCAATGTGCTGAGATTGAGATTTGAGAAATATGTTTCTTGGATTGTTTCCTTTATTGTTACTTTCTTTTATTTTGCGCGAAGCCTGCACCAGTCGAGACCCGGGAACGTACAGCGCAATCACTAGATTTCATATTATTATGTTTGTAGGGTATCGCCTGAAACGTCTGTATATATGTCTTGTGTCTTGTCCACGGGTTTGTCTTGTTAGTTTGTTTATGTGTCGTAGATTGGTCCTCTTGCACTTACATGTACCACGGTGGCTAAGTGGCTAAGACGCTGGCTCGCTAGCCAGGAGGTCGGGTGTTCGATCCTTGCATTGGACGAGAAAGTTCGTCCAGATTTTCCGGCGTGGCCCCCACCACCCTTGTCGGTGATGCAGGACGGAGGGCCTGACAAGTACAGTTGTCTAGTCATTCGGATGGGACGTAAAACCGAGGTCCCGTGTACACATTGGCGTGCACGTAAAAGATCCCTTGACATTTGGAATTCGATATAAGAGTAGGCCCTAGTGCCGCAAAATGTCCCTTATAGCACACTGTATGGCGTATGCCCGTCTTCATTAGCCCAGTTCGGAGCAGAACAGTAGGACGTTAAACCCGACTTCATTTCATTTTCAAATATGCGACAGAAAACGATAGAAATAATCAATACTTTATAAATTTAGAAAAAAAACGACAAAAATTATAATAATTAAGAACCAACGAACGGCAACAGAGTAAAAGTCTGTTCAATGCATGCGTGGCGTTAAAAAAATCCCACTTTATTCAATAATGTAAATGATGGAAATGTGGAAATTAGTAAAACGATCAATAGAACTCTGACGTTTGTGACATAAATCCGGTAGGATGATTTACCCAATACATAATTTAACTTTACATAGCAATGTGTCTAAACAGTACATTTGTAATTATATTTACAAAATTATCCGTTAAAAGATAAAAGGCTTTTTGTGCCAAAAATATTGAACGTAGTTTTAGAAAATTTAGTTACAAAAGATTACTATATAAAAATCTAAAAAACATAATTTAATATTTACAAAGAATTACTATTAAGTAAAGGATGTCAAATGGCAAAAGCATATTCACAAAACGATATAAAAATCTAGAACATATCCTTCAAAATTCAGTTACAAAGTAACTAATAATGATTACAATCTAAAAATCTAAAATAAATATTTACAAAATTTAAATAAAGAACTATATGTAAAAATCTAAAATGCATTTTTACATAATGATTTCGCAGCTTTTATTGGTAAATGAAAGAACGAAATATTTAAACTAACTAATAACAGGTTGTGTTGATATATATCTCTTTCTAATTTCTAGTATTACAAATCCGGGGAGATAACTCGCCTTTGTTCACCGGTTGTTTTCAAATACCATTTATTGTCATCGCCGTATTCTAAATTATTGTTTATTTAGGTCCCGTGCGATGTGGTTGGTGTCAGGAGAGAGAGAGAGAGAGAGAGAGTGTGGTTCATCTTTTTCCTTCGTCCCAATAAAGTCAAGTTAAAACAGAAGTTTATTTGGGTCCTGATAAGAGCCTGGTCTTTGATTCACAGTTTCTCTACCAATCATGATGACACCGATTGAGTAGCTGTGATTGGTGGAACAGTATTTCCATAGCTGTGGCTTTAGACCTCGGTTTCAAGATTCTGGTGAATATTGGATGCTTTGTCGCGCGTCTCTTCACTTAGATTTTCGAAGGTCACAGGATGTACTTGGGTGGTAATACATGTTGAAGCAGTATTTTCATAATCGTGGCTTCCAATCTTTGTTCCAAGACTTTGATTTTCATTGATTGTTCTGTCCCGCGTTGCTTCATCAAGGTTCTCATAGGTCACAGACAGTGCTTGACTACTGGTGCTTCGGGAATCCGTATTCACATAATCGTGGCTTTGAACGTTGATGTTAAGTTTTTGATAAACATTGACAGTTCTATCTCGCGTTGCTTCATCAAGTTTGTCATAGTTTACAGGCAGTGCTTGACTAGATATGCTTGGGGAAGCCGTATTCACGTAATCGTGGCTTTGCATATTGGTAGGAAGATTTTGGTAAACATTTACTCTTCTGTCACGCGTAGATTCATTGAGCTTGTCATAGTTCACTGGCGAAGCATGATCGGTGGTACATGCGGAAGTTATATTTTCATAAACGTGGCTATGAACTTTGTTTTTAAGGTTTTGACAAACATTGGGTGTTCTGTCTAGCGTCGTGTTACTATTTTCGTCACAGTTCGCTGCTACAGTAGCGATGTCTTTTGGATCAGTATTCTCGTAGTCGTGAATTTCATCCTGCGGTTTGAGGTTCTGATAAACATTTGTCGTTCTGGAGGACGTCGTTGCATTTCGTTTGGCAAAGCTTATCGATGTGGAAGCCGTATTACAGCCATCTATACGTTCAATACCAGAACCAGTATCGTCAACGCGATTGAGTAAGTTCACTAATTCTTTTATTTTTGCATAGCCATCATCCACATCATTATCATCATAACCACCAATGGCGTCGTGGTCGTCACTATCATCGATATTATCGTTTATTTCATGTTGTTCAACAGCATCAGCAGAATCGTTGTTGTCATCAACATTACCGTTTATTTCATCATGTGCAACAGCACGAACAGCAGCTATAGCAGGGGTAATACCAATTACATGATCATCGATAGTATCATGTATATCAATTTGTAGGTTAGAAAGGAACTGCTGGTACATGATTGCTGGAACTGGCTGCACAGAAGCGGAGAACGCTTCTCTTGATAAGGACTCAAAGGAATCTATGTTAGTAACGGCTGTGGTAACAGTAATGGGTGGAACCAAATCGTAGAACATAGACACTAGATTAACGGGCTCGGGTGCAGTGTTCAACTGGTAAGATGTAATATCTGAAAACAAACCCATAATAGTTTAAATAGATAAAACAAAATCCATACTTGTTTTTGACAAATAATTCCATGTAGGCTCGGAATAGGACAGCCTTTGTTATTTCAGCCATCAGTGGATTGTGATGTCATTAAGCGTATTGTGTTGATAGTATTCGCCTTGATTATTATGTCATTTAAAAACATCAAAACAACTCACTCCTTGAAAAATACTTCCTGTAGAAGAAAACAGTTGAGCTTATGAATACTACTATAATTAGCAACGACCCAGCTATTATATAACCCATGTGACTGTTTGCTGTAATTAAATAAAAAACATTAACATTAAATGCATTAACCATTTGAAATAAGGGGTTTAATGCTTTACTGTTCTGCATCAACTGGGCTAATGAAGACAGGCATACTCAATACAGTGTGCTATGAGCCAAACTTTGCCTAGACAGAGGCATTGCGGCCTACTCTTATTTAGATTCTAACTGTCAAGAGTTCTTTTACGTGCAAGCCGGAGAAAGGGGGGCGGGGGCGAATGGTTAGCACGTGCGCTGCTGTATCATAAGGCCTGTCAATGAATCAACTGGCGGGGTTTTGATTCCCCAGTTGTACGTGACTTGGAGTAGGGTCGCCTGACCAACCTCGTGGGTTTTCTCCGAGTCCCCCGGTTTCCTTCCACTGATAAAGACCCCTACGCGCAAGCGAATTGTTGAAATAAAACTGAACCATATGTTAGTCTTGAAATAACCTAGTTTGTATCGAGTGGACGTTAAACCCATCTGTCTGTCTGTCTGTCTGTCTCTCTCTCTCTCTCTCTCTCTGTGTACAATCCAATGTGTACACGGGACCTCGGTTTTCCTTCAGATGCACCACTGACAAGGGTTCATCACGCCGAAAATCCCGATGAACGATCTCAGCCAATGAGCCATGGTGACTCCCCTACAAGGTCAGTAAATACAAACAAGTGTACAGCGATACTACGACTTTCTCCTCGTATTTAGATTCTGTCAAGGGTTCTTTTATGTGCACTATTCCGAAGACCATACGTTGTCACTTGCCAGGCACCACTGACGACGGGGCACCACGCCAGAAAACCTCGACTTAAACCAAGTATTAAAGTTAGGACTATAAAGTTATAGAAAATGAAATGAAATGGGGTTTAACGTCATACTGTTCTGCTCCGACTGGGCTAATGAAGACGGGTATATAATTAAACTACCAGTATAGAAGGTAACTATAAGGTTATGGTATTAATAACAGTTTACATCAAGTATAAAAGGGCAGAACTATATAGTTATCGTTATCGTATTTTAATAACGTTTTACACCAGGTATTAAAGATAGGACTATGATGTTGCCGTATAAATAACAGGGTTTAAAGGTATATTTGTGAATTATTATAATCATATGTACTTACATATCACACCCGAAATACTATATTTGGAAGTCGTAGTAGTAGTAGTAGTAGTAGTAGTAGTAGTATTTAGAATAAAAGATGTATTTTTGGTACCATGTATATTGTATACCCTGCATGTATATACTCCATCATCTGATTCTTGTAGATCTGGTAGATTGAGTTGTTGATTAGAACTCAACATCTTCCCACCTTTATACCAACTGATACTACATACTGGATTACAATCACTCATGCAATTAACAGACAATTCTTCTCCTAAACGTTTCTTTATTTCTTCATCAGGTTTTAAATTTGTATCACCATAGATTAATGTTAAATTATATGGTCCATCTGTAATATAATTAAGTTATAGAAAATGAAATGAAATGGGGTTTAACGTCATACTGTTCTGCTCCGACTGGGCTAATGAAGACGGGTATATAATTAAACTACCAGTATAGAAGGTAACTATAAGGTTATGGTATTAATAACAGTTTACATCAAGTATAAAAGGGCAGAACTATATAGTTATCGTTATCGTATTTTAATAACGTTTTACACCAGGTATTAAAGATAGGACTATGATGTTGCCGTATAAATAACAGGGTTTAAAGGTATATTTGTGAATTATTATAATCATATGTACTTACATATCACACCCGAAATACTATATTTGGAAGTCGTAGTAGTAGTAGTAGTAGTAGTAGTATTTAGAATAAAAGATGTATTTTTGGTACCATGTATATTGTATACCCTGCATGTATATACTCCATCATCTGATTCTTGTAGATCTGGTAGATTGAGTTGTTGATTAGAACTCAACATCTTCCCACCTTTATACCAACTGATACTACATACTGGATTACAATCACTCATGCAATTAACAGACAATTCTTCTCCTAAACGTTTCTTTATTTCTTCATCAGGTTTTAAATTTGTATCACCATAGATTAATGTTAAATTATATGGTCCATCTGTAATATAATTATAGATTAATATCATATATGGTCCATCTGTAATATATTTACGGCAGGACGATTTAACCAATACTACCCACTACTACCGATTACTACCGAGTCTGTTTTGATATTTTTTGATATAAAAAAAGACAAGTAAGAGATTTTATTTATCACCCAGCCCTTTCTTTGGTTAGATTTAATTTTACTGAACCTGATTACATTACGGCGTAGTGATACGTTATGTTTTGACAGCAAGTCACCCGTTGCAAAGTCCTATATTATTATATTGACACGGTGTTACCGTTAAGGTTATGTGTGTGTGTGTGTGGGGGGGGGGGGGTATCGTAATTGTTTATGATAATTGGGGAGTTTTCTTCAACAATATTACTGGATCCAAAAAGTAGTTCCTTTTCAACGGACTAATCAAATTCATGTAAAATATGAAAGTTATCACACAATCGATGTCTACTGAGTGATAATGTTTAATGTTATATGGCCCATCTGTAGTATAATTATAGTTAAATGTTGTCTCACATGGTCCATCTGTAATATAATTATAGTTTTATATTAAGGTGAATCTATTATATAATTATAATTTGTCTCCAATATGTTTCCGTACTTCGTCATAAGGTTTCAGTATCGTATCTTTACGCTTTTATGTTGTATCACATGATTCGTCTGGAATATAATTTTGATATCATATTGATAGTCTACGATAACTGTACAGCAAATCAAGGAAAAACAAACAATATAGGGATGACTTTACTACAATTGATGGATAAAGCGGACTACAAAACACAAACGGACATAAAAAAAAGAAACAGCTGTATGAATGTTAAATTTAAAGAGCCAATCTCGATTATATTTTGGAGAATAAAACTGCTTAATTTTGTGTTAAAAGCCCTTAAAATCATCTACCTTAGGGCACAGCAACTAACTCAATATACGTGATACGTTTTTAAACAACTTAAACCCGACAGTCTTCATTTGGAAATGACAAGGACAGCTGTCTAGTCGTTCGGATGGGACGAAAACCGAGGCCCCGTGTACATATTGGCGTGCACGTAAAAGATCCCTTGGCAGTTGGAATTCGATATAAGAGTAGGCTGTAGCGCTGCTGCCCGGGCAAAATTTCCCTCATAGCACACTGTATGGCGAATGCCCGTCTTCATTAGACCAGTTTAGGAGCAGAACAGTAGGACGTTAAACCCCATTTCATTTCATTTTATTTGGAAATGGAGATCGGTGTCTCAAGTTGTATTATACGGTGTCTGGATAAACCAGGCTTTTATTTTATAAAAATAACGTGTAGTTGAAATTTACCCTTCGTTATCAAATACGGCACATGGGTCATGCACTGTATAGACCTCTAAAGTAACGGCAATTCATTATCAGGTCACCCAACGAAAAAATTGACCTTAAATCTTAAAAAGGTTAGTGTACAGATAACCGGATTAGACGTTCACGTCCAAACGACTCAATAATTTGAGCTGAAATTTTGAGACAAGGTAAATACCCCATTCCTCTATAGTTTGATACGTACACGGACTTTTATTTCTGAGACATTGTTAAAATTGGGATGGTCCCTTTAAGATTATCTTGGATTAGATGCCTCTTCAGACACCTTAATCTAATTTTCGAGTAAAATTACTTACACATTGGATGTAGAGGGAATTTTTCAGAGACGCCAAGAACATGTTTACATCTTTGTTCTGCAAGAACTGATAGAAAAAATAATACAAAGGCAAAATAATATAGAGCATCGGTTTCGAATGAACAAGCGGCAATACTATATAGCGGAAAACACCGGAAAACACCATTTTATACTGAATACCGGAAAACACCGGAAAAACACTAAATACCGGAAAACAGCCTAAGTACCGAAAAACACCAAGTGAGCGCCGATGAAGGAAGGTCAAGGTCTTTACGATGTTCGTTTTACAAATAGTCCACCCACCCCCCCAAAAAAAATCCGATTTTTTTTTCTCCAAAATGTTTTTAACGAAAAAAAATTTCTGTCAAAAAAAAAAAAAATTCGAATTTTTCCGAAAAATTGGATTTACAAAAAAACATTTCGTAGAAATTAATTTTACAGAGAAAAATACTGGAAAAAAAATTTGAGAGAAATTTTGGAGAAGATATTGTTAAAAAAAATCTGAAAAGAAATTTTTCTTTGACCGTAGGCGATCGCTCGCTTGTATGTTAATAAACTTATTTTATCAGCGCCCACCTGGTCCAAAACCACACACGAGGACCAAACTCCGGGTTACTAAATAGCTACCGGAAAACTTAGAAGAGTAAACTGTGCCCGAGATTTATTTAGAGAGCGCGCCGCGCCGCGCCGCTCCGGGAGGGATCATCGTCAGGGTGGGACGGGGGTGGAATTGTCCAGTCACGTGACGAACATAGATCTTCTGTTCCTCAACCCATATTATTTCCACAGTCATTGTCATTAATCACAAATTACGGGATGATATACGAAAATGCAGGTTTACTTTGAAATAGTGCAAATGATACTTTTCCATCTACAATCTTCAGATCAAAGAATGCAAGTTCTTACACAGTGCAGCATAATTTGTGCAACAGAAGACATCTCGAATATCGATTGTCGGAAAAACATTTTCTAATACGCATTCGGTGTAAGTCTTCAGCCACCAGGAAGTGGTTAACATAGTAATGTTTTATTACGATAGTAGTACATAAAACAAATTGGTTGCCTGAGGTTCTCGGGGGGAAAGTAGCCTCATCGGCTAGAGTCCTCTATTTCACAAGCAAAAACAACAATTGCTTCCTTGAACATTTATCGATCAACCCTTTTTACAGACGTCCACCTTACCACTTCCCGTCAATGCAGTAAGATAGAATATGTAGTTTTCTCATGGACAATTGGGCGAAAGTTGGGGTTTTCTCAAGGAAAACTGGTCAACAAGTTGGGGAAAAAAGCTCGAA